TTCAGAAACCACTTAAATTATAATTATTCACTTTATTCCACTAAATTGTTACAAAGTGACACCAGCTTGACCAGGTCAAAGAAATCACCTTGCAAATGTATGTGGTGTTTTAGGGTGTCTTCTTCAAAACTATCTGAAACTTGTGAGATCATAAAGCTCTCATAAGATTTCATCCAACCTATCCCAAACTCTAACACAATCTGACATAGTTTGTCAAAACCTTGTGAGAGCTTACATTAGATTTTTGGCATCCTTCCACATGACTTCTGGCAACAGTCAATTGGTTGGGGGGCAGAGTATACATTTGGTAAGTAAATAAATGCAGTTAATAACATTTTCCTACATGTGGTTCTCACAAGAGAGGTGGGTTAAGATGTTTAGTCTGGAAACATTATAACTGTAATTTCATTGTGTAAAACTGTTAGCACCATTTCGAAGGGAGGAAGGGTGGTATTGGGTTCCAGGAGAACTGACTTCTTGCTGAAGACTAGAATCTGTAATCCAGTCTCTCCAAGACAGAGCTTGGAGGGCAATAATAGAATGGAGCCACTTTTGTTAAAAAGTCTATCCATAAAAATGACAGCCCACTTGTAGCAGCATATTCTGAGGCTGGTCCATTTGTTTTACAATATAAATTTTCACCCTGTAATATAGGAGCAGGATGGCTTTATTGCAAGACACAGAGAGAGAAAAATGTTACATTTGCAAATCAATGCAATGGATGAGAAGATGCAGCCTACGCTGCCAATAGCAAATATGGAGAAAGCAAGCCACTAGCTTATTCTGCCCCAACTAATTTCACTTGGCAAACAGCGGAGTGACTTGGCAAAGGCAACAGAATAGCATTCATTCCACAATGAGTGAAGAGAGAGATGACATTTGAGACTACAGATCTGTGGAATTTAATATCTTAAAGCTATGGTTGCTTTGGAAGTGTCAGATTGTGTAATGAATTAATAACAATTTATATAACTCACAGCTTTTTCCAAATAATGCCAGCTGGAAGTGTTTGTGCTGTTAAAATACATCTTGAAACTTCCTTTCTTCTTTGCATGTTCTAATTGGGGCATCTATGGAGTGCAGAAAAGGTATGTGAGTCACACCTAAGTTGTTTCATTGCTTCGTGCTCAGCCACAAGCCACCTAGGTTAGAATGTACTATCTGACACAAAGAATTGAAGAACTTCTAGATCAGGGGTCCCCAACCCCCGGTCTGTGGACCGGCACCAGTCTGTGGCATGCCAGTAACTGGTCTGCACAAACAAGCAAAGCCCCATCCGTGGGACGCAGGCAGCACACGAAACCACACACGCTCCATGGAACCAGTTCCTGGTGCCCAAAAGGTTGGGGGCCACTGTTCTAGATCATCCAAACTAGAACTTAATTACACTAATGTAATACCCCAAAATTTGAACCAGACAGATTCTTATGATGTAATATTTATCATCTTTCAATGCCAAATGTCAAAATCTATGATTTCAGGTCTACTATACTTAGTACTCTCTACTAGTCTTGGTTAGTATTCTCAGTGGATTTTAAAGAGAATGCTCTTATCTATTACTGTGCATGTGTATTTCAGGCATCAACAAAACTTGCCATGTGATTCCTTAGACATAGACATAGAATTATAGGGCTGGAAGTGACCTTGGAGTTCTTCTAGTCTCACCTCCTGCTCGAGACAAGAGATTTTATACCATCCTGAACAAATGAATTTTTGAAAACCTCCAGTGATGATGATGATGATGATGATGATAATAATAATAATAATAATAATAATAATAATAATAATAGTAGTAGTAGTAGTAGTAATAATAATAATAATAAAGTTGGAAGGGACCTTTGAGGTCATCTAGTCCAACCCCCTGCTTAGGCAGGAAACCCTATACCATTTCGGACAAATGGCTGTCCAGTTTCTTCTTAAAAACTTCCAGTGTTGACGCATTCACCATTTCTGGAGGCAGGTTGTTCCACTGGTTAATTGTTCTCACTATTAGGAAGTTTCTCCTTAGTTCTAGGTTGTTTCTCTCTTTGGTTAGCTTCCACCGGTTGCTTCTTGTCCTGCCTTCAGGCGCTTTGGAAAATAGCTTGACTCCCTCTTCTTTGTGGCAGCCCCTGAGCTATTGGAACACTGCTATCATGTCCCCCCTCATCCTTCTCTTTGTTAAACACCCACAACTCCAGGAGGCAAGCTGTTCCATTGATTAATTGTTCTGATGGATCAGCGTTCTCCATGCCCCTTTATAGTGTCCAGCCACTGATTGCTCCCAGCATGATTGCTTTTTGAATGAGCCAGCTCGCAAGACTTGACCAAAGTTTGACAACTTCTGTTTGGAGAGTTTGGCTTCAAGTGTTATTTTGGTGATATTCAATCTAGGACTTCTTTGTTTGTTATTTATGTTATGAACCATGGTGGCCCAGTGGTTAGAATGCAATACTGCAGGCTAACTGCCAACTGCCAGCAGTTTGATCCTGACCGGCTCAAGGTTGACTTAGCCTTATGACTTAGCAATATGCTGACTCTGTAAATCACTTAGAGAGGGCTGTAAAGCACTGTGAAGCAGTATATAAGCCTAAGTGCTATTGCTAAGTGCTATTTTTGCAGTCCATGGGATGTGTAATAGTCGCCTCCAGCACCACAGTTCAAAGGCGTCTACCCTTTTCCTATTTGCCTTTTTCAGAGTCCACATTTCACAGCCATAAGTAGTAACTGGAAAAATTATTACACAGCTACCTTTCTCAAAATCCAGAAGTTGAAAAAAATCACTTCAACTCCCAAAATTTTTATTTGGAGATGTTGACTGGGAGATGAAGCACCTCTGGTGGGAATGACTATCCAGAGTATCACTGTAGCATTCCTCTTCCATAACACCCAAATGACTTTGAACTGTTTGTGATTTAAATCCTCCATTTCCTTTATTTTCAATTGGCCATATCTCATTAAGAACATAATGCAGCTTGTGAAAAAGTGTCCTGGAGTAGCATTACTACTGTCTTGGGATTAGGGTTTTTTAACTAGAGAGAGACTTCCAGAGTCAATTTACAGTAATGTCAAGGAGCAATAAATACATTGGTGAGGGAACAGGATGGGCACGAGAGAAATAGGGAACTACATGCTGATAGGAAAACATCAACAAATAAACTTTTTGTGCTTGTAATTAGACACACAAGATTATTATATGTTTAATTGACTAAAGTGACAATTTGGAATTACATCTAGTTGCATTTAATTGGATTTGGAACCTCCAGAGAGAAAGAAACTGAGAGGAGTATTGGAGGAGTTACCATAAAAAGCAAAGTGATTTTCTGAAGTCTGTTAAAGCTTGCAGTAATATCCACTGCACAATAGTTTTTAATATCCTCCCAGCCTAATAAGAGGAGCTGGCAGTTGTTGCAACACTTGGGATACTAAAGCATATTTAATTAGTTGCAGCATTTGCAATCTCTCTCCCTTCCTCCCATCGGTCCATTCCATAATTTCTACTGTAACATAATCAAAGGTGAACTACACTTGACTTTGCCACAAGGTTGAGATATTCTCTGACACAATCTTCACACTGTGAATCTATGTGTGCATAAATTCTGCCTGTATACAATGTGATGGGTCCTTCCCTAAATACTTTAAAGTGAAGCAAATTAAACATTTGGGGGATAGACAAAATACTTGCATATTCACAATGCACATAGAAACACATATCAAGTGCCAGGAGAATAATGGCTAATATTTTGCTATCTCATAAGACTGTGTTTCCATGGAGGTTATTGATTTTGATAAGCACAACTATGAAGACACACTATTATGAACAGATCCTTTTTTATAGAGATGGACAAAGGAGGTGAGTGGGAGGGAGGAGCACCTAGGTTGTCAAAAATGAATAGAAGAATGTTCTCAAGTGGACCAGGACAGGATCTTCTGAAGAAGAAGGAATTATATTGGGAAAAGGGCTTTTTTTTATTGTGACCCCATTGAACACTTGTGGAAAACTTCATAACTTGGAGTGCAATGAGGAAACCTAAGGGACTCATGGTTAATAGTTCCCAATCCTATTTTAGTCTGGGTTTAGCTGCCATCATCTAAAGTTTTTTTTTTTAGATAGAGTGATCTGGGATAGGCCCCAAAACTATTCTTCCATTAATACAACAATAAATAAAATAAAGATGTCAAAGTGCAAAACTTAACCTTGGATCCCAGAATCAAACCAGAGATGATGAACCATCAACCTTCTCTTAAGCCAGATGTCCCTGAACTAAGATCCCAAACATAAGGTCTCACAGCCAGATTTTGCTAAATGTCAAAGAAAGGAAACTTCCTGTTTTTCAGTTACCATATTCACATGATATACTTAATTGGGTCCTGATAGAATCATGAGTTATAGAAATGGGTTTTCTTTAAGAATTCTTTCTTTCTCCCTGTCTTTCTCTCCATTGTATATTTTGTCCCTGCCTTGGGGTGATGAAAAAGGGAAAGAAAAGATGATGCTGTCTCTGGTTGTGCTAACACTACTTGGAACATCATGGAAAATTCAATGGTTCAATTAAAGAACAGCAGAAAATGACAACCTCCCAATCATCTTCACAACTATTAGGAAGCCATCAAAGAAACCTGTTCCATATTCCATATTTGAGCAGTCATCTGTGATTATCAGCCACCAGCGCACAGAGATTTGTCCCAGGATAGCTTCTAACTAAATTAGCCATGTTGTCCAAACACAGTTCTCTAGTTTAGGGGGAGAAAAAGACAAAAGCTGCCCATCAATGGTGGATACTCTTTCAGTTTTGTCTTATTGCTACACTTTCTCCATTGACAAAGAGACAGGGCAAGAGAGCCAATTCAATGGATTAGATTTTGCACAGCAGATCTCCTAAGTTCTGCTCTGATAGTTCCATAGTTTATATACTTTATGTCTTACGCCTTTCTGTCACAAACATTACATTTGTGTATTCTTGTTTTTCTTCTTGCTACCCTTTAATATGTTCCATTTTCTAATTCTGTTGTGTCACTAGAAGCACCATGATTGCTGACTACACGTATTGGCTGTCTGGAGGAAGAGACCAGCATACCAGCAAGCTCATCAAACTGTATTGGCAGGTAAAAATGAATGGCCTAACTAAGAGAGAAGTGCCCCCATTGCTCTTCAAATCCAGATGAAGGATTGGTGTTTAAAAGACTGCCAGCTAAGGTAGCTCTGGGACTTATCAATCAGAAAGCCATTATATATGGCAGCAACATATTTATAATGAAGGAGATTTTTTTCCCTAAGACTAATTTTAAGGGGGGGGGGAGTCAAGGTTGTTAGCCTTGACACATAATTCAGTTTTACTGAGTATAAAAAAATTTCAACATTGATAGAAACACACACACACACACACACACACACACATGCACAGACATAGGTAAAATTCAGTTATAGTAGCTTCAGTTCAATTTTTCTGAAGTTCCCTCTTATACTTTTGCTAGCCAAAAATCTATTCATATAGCAAGTCAAGCTTTCTGCTTTATCAAGAAAATGGTTTTGAGAAAGTTGAATTGTAAAGCAACAGTCTATTTTGCTTTACAATTTTGCTATCCTTTCCAACCCATTATATGGAACCAGTTATCTAGCAGATTTCACACATCTCTGAACGAAGTGACATCATTTGTTGTAATTTCAATATATCCAAAGGTAGATTCCAACATGTATTTTGTACCAAAATAACAGCCATTGTTATTCAGTCATTCAGTTGCTTCCAACATCTCTTAACTCAATGCATATCATTTACCAGAATTGTCAGTGAGTAACTCAAAAATATTTGAGTTTTCATAGACTCATGCTCACCTAATCCATCTCATGTCATGTGCGAGAAACCACAAGGTTCCAACACAAAGAGTTAATCAGAGTGGTATGTTTATGGACAGGATTCTTGGCAGACTAAATTACTCAGTACTGAACTGCTAGATTTAACAGAATAACAGAGTTGGAAGGAACCTTGGAGGTCTTCTAATACAACACACTGCTCAAGCAGCAGCCTATACCATTAACACTATGAAGTTTAGGGAGGGTATCTTTCTTCCTTCCCCATGAGCTCCAAGGCTAGCTAGCTTTTTCCATCCTCCTCTCAACTTAGCTCCAGTTTCCACCACAATCTCAGCTCGAATGGGAGGAAAGAGGAAGAATAACAAAACCCATTTAGAACGTATATCAGAACATTCAGTGCATGCAGGAAAGGGTGGAACTTTTAATATGAGCCTTTGATGCTATTTTCATGATTCTGACCAAAGCCACAATTATTGTGAGCAACCACAGCAGTATTTAACCATCTTGTATTCTGTTGGCCTTTCTTTTAATGGCCTTCAAGTTTTTCAAGTGCCAAGAGCTGTCCAATGACTCTTTCATTCACATTATTTATCTAAAATATTTATGTTCCAGGGTCCTTATTAGTGATTTCAGTCAGCAATCTGTGTTTGCTTCCTCTAGTGTTGAATGATTTGTTCTTTCTGTGGCACAGCAATTTTTTCCAGCAGCACAATCCAAAGGCATCCATTCTTCTTCACTCAGCCTCTTGATGGCCCAGTTTTCATAGCCATGTGCTACATTGAGAATGCCATGGCCTGGATAATAACTTTTTTTTTGGTCAATGTGGTATCTCTCTGCTTGTGTTATTATCATTATCCCAAGTTACAAGACATATTTTTATATCATGGCCACTTTCACCATTCCTATGAATTTTCGAGTTTAGGAAGATAAACTCAGTTACTCCTTAATCTTAAACCCTCCCAAAAAACCAGAGCTGGAAGAGACTTTGGAGGACTTCTAGCCCAACTCCTCCTGCTCAAGCAGAAAACCTTATACAGTTTAAGACAAGTGATTGTTCAATCTCTTCTTAAAAACTTCAATTGATGGAGAACCCCCAATGTCTGAAGCCAAGTCTTCTTAGCATTGCCTATTGACATAATGTCGGTTTGTTATTGTGATGGTTTTAATGTTAAACAGCAGACTAGTTTGCCTTTACTTATTTTATCCTGAACAAGATATTTGTGGCTCCCAGTTATCAAACTGATATTGCAATGGTATATAGGAATGATCTTCGGGGGAAGAGATGCGGTCTAGAAAATAATTAGATAATAGAGGGCATAGCCTGCAGTTGCATAAGGGGCTGGTGTCCTGTGGCAATTTTTTCAGCTGCTATAGGGGTTCTTTTGTTGTTTGGTTAGGTTTCCTATGAGGGATAATCTGGCTGATCTCCTAATTCAGTGGTTCTCAACCTGTGGGTCGGGACCCCATTTGGGGTCGAACGACCATTTCACGGGGGTCGCCAAACAACGCAGTCCACCATTTTTCCCCCCTTTTCCTTAGCTGTGCTACTCCCTTTTATTCTATTGGCTTTTGAAAGCCAATAGAATAGACTCTCTTGAATAGAGTCTAATTCTATTGGCTTTCAAAAGCCAATAGGAATTGTCCAGGCTGTCTCTGCCCTGCTGAGCCCGCCAAAAGTCCCATTCTGCAAACGGTGCTGCACCAGTTGAGTAGTCCTCGACTTACGACCGGTTGAGTAGTCCTCGACTTACGACCGGTTGGGGGTCGCGGCATTAGAAAGGTTGAGAACCACTGTCCTAATTTGTCTGTTTTGTATGCCATCTCATAATTGTGACTCTGGGTAACAAACACACGATTAAGACAGCAAAAAACAAAGCAGCAATATAATAATAATGGTGCCCATGGACAACATGTCTAAATCCATACACCCACCATATTTGTCAAGAAAAAAAAGCATATTGACAAACTCATCTAGCCTGTAAGTCCCATATCTGAAGAAACATTTACTTCCATGTTTCTCAACCTCGATAACTTTAAGATCTATGGACTTCAGTTCCCAGAATTCCTCAGCCAACATGCTGGCCATGGAATTCTGGGAGTTGAAATCCATACATCTTAAAGTTGCCAAGGTTGAGGAACACTGGTCTAGGTCTTCAAGCATTTTTTTGGATTCACACAGTATGGAAAACAATAAAAATCAAAACGGAGGTCAGCATTAACCAAAGTTAACATTGTATACAATTGAATGCATTATATTTTTGGTTAAATATGCTATGCCAGCAGTTATAAAATTGATATCACTGTGATTTCATGAGGCTACCTTTCACTGAGATACTCTGTTAGTCTAGCTACCATTTCAAAGCTATGAAAACAGCAAACTATTTTCTGTTTCAGAAGATTTTTTTTGCTAGGCGAAGGAGATTTTATTTATAGTATCAAATGCAAAGAAATTTCATTGTTAATTGTTAAAGAGTTGTCTGAATAGGGGAGGGGCAGAGAAAGAAAGAGCCAGTAGTGAGTCATAGCTATAATTTATACCATTAGAGGGAAGAAGAGAGAAGCTTATAAATGAAATTCAGAAAACTGACAAAAGAGCGAGTGGAGTAGAAGATAGTTCATTATACTCTATTCCTTATGCTCTGTCTGAACATTTGTCAGAAGGAAGAAGCAAGGTTCTTAATATGGTTGGTGTCAGGATGAATCCAAAAGATAGCAGGAAGCGCAAAAAATGCTTGTGCAGCAGCGAGGCAGTAAAAAAATAGGTTGTGCAAAACTTTGAGGCCCAATGAAATGCCTGCTGAGTAACCCTATTGAAGCCAATTTGTGTGTCATAGCAAAGACCAATGCAGTGACTTTTCTGATGCTTCTGGGATTCTTATCAACAATGATGCAAGTTCACTTCTGTGTATAGAAAATGCTAAGGAACTTAAGCAGCATGATGGAACTCCTCTACTTTGACATTGACATGAGTGCTATGCCATTGAATGTTATCATCTCATTAAACTTGGAGCCTATCTGAGTTTCTCTGGGGTGTGATGGCTCATACTGATGTAGGCTTCTTTCACTTTTTCAATAGGACCAGCCACAAGACTTTGCTTTTCTTGCGCTAATGGTATATTCTATGAAGGTGCTGTCCACAAAACTGGGAATTCAAAGTTAGAAGCTCCATATATTACTCATAGTTGACCAGTCCAGACTACAATCCTGGATCCAGTCTTGCACTCCTAGGGCAAGTTTAAGTCTCTCAGCAGTGAGCGAATGGGTGCCAGGTTATTACAGTTGTGTTCCAAATATTTACTATTTTTAAAAAATTAAGAGATAGGAATAGCAATAGCACTTAGACTTATATACCATTTCATAGTACTTTATAGCCCTCTCTAAGCAGTTTACAGAATCAGCATCTTGCCCTCAACAATCTGGGTCCTCATTTTACTGACCTCGGAAGGATGGAAAGCTGAGTCAACCTTGAACCGATCAGGATTGAACTGCTGGCAGTCAGTAGAATTAGCTTACAGTACTGCATTCTAACCACTGTACCACCATAGCTCTTCACCACAACTGAATAGCACAAAGACCATGTTCTTTATACCACCCTCCATTCCTAAAGCTTCTTTATCTTTGTGGCACTATAGTCCATTGTGCCTATCTTCTTCTGGTTATTGCCATGAAGACACAACTTTGTTATAATAGAGTCCTGCTTAGAAGACACTAAGATTTGCCAATGTGCTTTGCCCAAACCAGTTGTCTGTCCTTCCAGGTAAACCAGACAGGAAACACAAATAGATGAGTTAATTCTAGTCTATTGCCAGGATACATTAACAGAATATTTCATGTCTGAAGGTGCAAACCTCCCATTGCATCTATTCACCTTGTCCTTCAAGGCCATTAATATATACCATTACACTGGCACTCCACCGAGGCTAATCATGAGCTGATTCTGCCCAGCACAGGTCAAACGTATCTATAGCAACCTTCTTGGCACATCATAGAAAAATAGTGATTGGAGCTAGCAAAACTACCCTGCTCTTCCAGGATACATTAACTGGCATTCTTAAAGTAGTATGCCAAGCCTAACATTCAGAAAAACAAGTAGAAGGGGAGAAGGAACTTATTTTCTCTAGTTTTTTGGAACTGCTATTTTTTTTCAGTTGGAACAAAAAGCTTAAGACTGTGTTGTGATGAAACTGTTGAGGATATCCAGCTGAAAGCTGTCAGGAGAATGGTCTCTAAAGATTTGTTTATGTATTTATTTATGCATTTTAAATTAAATTATTTACTTCAGTTTATATGGCCA